TGTTAATTTTTAATTACTGTGTTATTATTATATTGTCACTGTGTTGTTATACTCAGTCGTTTCTTTGTTTTTTTGCTTTCATTATTATTCTGTATTATCTAAATAAGTATCTCTATTTATTTTTTCCTTTCTTATTTAATTTTATATTATTTGTATCTGAATGAATAAATGCTTTTTCTTTGTTCCTCTTTCTTTCTTTACGTAAATAGTATAATAGTTTGGTTGAAAATGTATTACATTCAAAGCATCTATCGTGTTTCATAAAATAGATAAAGTCGTCAGTTGTCCTTGTAACATCTAGAATACTCGTCGAGGGCCGGTAGTTAGAAACTTTGACAACATCTTACGTTAGTCTAGCTCTAAATTTTGCAGAGTACAGACAATCTGGATAAGATTTAGTGCTGTACAAGACCTAGTTGGAAATTATAGCATTGGAATCTAGATTTTAATGTAAAGTTAACTGAATGTGTTATCCCCCAGCAAATAAAGTAGAAATAAGTTTGATTGTGGGTGTTGTGTGTAAATTGATGTCCATCACAAGTTTCTATTTACTTATAGGTATTCAAAAGTAATTAGGCATAGATTAACAACGTTTTTGTAAATACTGATCAATTTGTGAATTTATTTTTTTATAAAGAGAATTTTCCAATATTTTTTGTAGATTTATTATTATGACTTTTGGCTTACTCTCGTAAATAATTGGCGATGAATTCGACATAATATGAACCTTTAGAATGGCTTGAAACTAGTCGAGTTCCTTGTTAAATAATTGCGTGCGTTAAATATTTAGTTTTTCTGTTGCATGTTTCAGAAAGAATACACAGAGAAGAAATGAGGACTAATCATCCCTTTGGTGGATAAGCGATTTCAAACTTATGATATAAAATTATACGTCTAGTAGCATGCACGGTTCCCGCGGTGGATGGGCAACGTGTCGCAGGTTCGATTCCCGCACGGAACAATTCTTTATGTGATCCACAGATTGTTGTTCCGGGTCTGGGTGTCATCTATATGTGAACTTGTATGTTTGTAAACGCACCCATGACACAGGAGACAATCCTATTGTGAGGCAATGTTTTTTTTTAAGTATCCCTACGTTTCCTGCACTACAATTTTTCAGTGACGACGTCTAAATTACGCTACATATAGTTACATTACACATTATATTGTATGTCTTTACAACACACGTGCGCTCCTCGACCATGAACTGCGCAAACAGTTTGCTCATACCGGACATCATTTGCCTTGGTAAACGGGGAACCATGTTATTGTATATTTTACTTAGTATATAGTACATTGAATACAATATTATATACAATCGTGGACTCCTGTGTTATACTGTATTCTATTGCTAGTGTTTTTTTATATTGATCAACAGCCACTGCTGTGCAAAGCCTTTTCTCACTTCTCAATGTCTTTTATATTATTCGGTTGGGTTAATTGCATAGTTTTTGTTTCGACAAGAAATAATTATTTACAAATAATGATTTATTTATCAATAATACACTTAAATAACATAATTATGAATTAATATACAACTTAAAAAAATAGCTATTAAACTATATACTAGCTACTTAAATGTGTACAATAAAGCATACATAAATAAATAAATAAAAAAAGAATAAAATACCATCAGTTAGGTGTCAAAGAATTCGCCCGTCTCACTATCAGTGGAGAAGGGGATCGTGCCTAGAAGACTGGCAGCATTGCCACGTTGAATGGCAATGCTTATTTTCTGTTCGAATAAATAGCCAGCTCTCTGGTCACGAGTAGAGTCCGACTCCATAAACCGAATGTGGCCTGGAACCCCATATTATAATCATTTGTATGATCTTGAAGCTGATGTTTATTTTATGAAGCTGGTTGTTTTTATAATAACTATCGTGAGGCATTCTAAATTAACTATAAATGGCGGGCTATGCACGTGAATATACTGAGAAATGCTAATTTCGAACCTCAGAGGGGTTCTTCCTCATGAGCAGCGTGCGCGGTCGCGGCGAAGTCGAGCAGCCTACCTACGTAGGCTAGTAGAAACTAGTAAAGCTTCTCTCAGTATATTCACGTGAGTAACCCGCGATTTTTAGTTAAGCTGGTTGTTTTGGTCAATGTAGGTACTCATTGAGCTGCGCTGGAGGATCATAACTATATTTTTATCGTATTTTTCTTCAACATATTTCACTTTTCTAGAAAATATTATACATTTTCCAAGAACTGTTGCTAATTTTTCCTGCTTACCTCTTACTGGGATATTTTTTTAAATTTTCCAGAAAAACATTTTAAGAGATTATTTTCTTAGTTCTTTCCATATTTTATTATTTGTTTTTTTTTATTTCTTCTAAGAAACCAAGTAAGTCTATGTATTGAAAATCCTTCGTTGTATACCAAAGTCTTTTCCATTCCGGATAATTTAACAGCAT